TATGTGGTATCAACATTGGAAGTCAACTTTAGGGCTTGGAATGGGAGCACGGGATGCGGGAGTAAAAGGTATCAAATATGACACCCCGGGAAAAATTTTGTGGGTTCTTGATTTCATCCGCTGACACTCGGCCAAGTCGATTTTCTGAGTTACAAACAAGACTAGGGCATAAAAAGTTAGATGATTGACTCGAAAAGAAAATGGTTTATGGAATCATACCTTCGGATGAGGTTCTCGGCTTCCGGTCCAAGTTGAACATCCTCGGGAAAGTACAAATTTGTACGCCAGGCGACAATCTTTCGATACGTATCATGTGCATCTTCGGCACAGAAAGGAGGCCATCCGACTTGACATTCGAACATGATCGTACCAAGACTCCACCAATCGCAATCATAAGAATAACCATGTCCACTGAAAATTTCTGGAGCGATATAATCAGGTGTACCAACAGTTGAGTAAGCCATAACTCTTCGGGACTTCCTCCAGTCATTGATGACGCTTCGGTTACTGACTGTGAGATTGATCTCGTCAAGATTGACTGATTGTCTGTTGTTTCTTGGCTTATTCGATTTTCCTTGCAACAATTGCTGGTAGTATGAATTGTCGTGGAGTTTATGGAAACCGGTGGATAAACCAAAATCAGTTAATTTAACATGTCCACCTCGATCAAGCAAGATGTTGTCGGGTTTGATATCACTGTACAAATTAGCACCAGAAATGAGAGAAATAAAAGGGGACGTCCGAAGCGACTTTCCCCTATTTCAATCAACTTACCGATGAATAAAGCCAAGCTTATGTACAGCTTCGATGGCGAGTACAATTTCCGCAATGTAAAATCTTGTGATATCTTCCGAAAAGATCTCATATTTGATAAGCATAGTCATCAAATCTCCTCCTGGCAAGAATTCCATCAACATGTAAAGGAAATCCTGATCTTGAAAGGTCGTGAAGAGCTTAACAACCCAAGGACTGTCGGACTCGGCCAAGATATCTCTTTCAGCACGAACGTGTGCTAACTGATCCTTCTTGAACATCTCAGTCTTAATTAAAGATTTCATAGCATAAACTTTGCCATCTTGCTTCTTTTGCACTAATTTGACTTCTCCAAAGGCTCCTTTTCCAATGATCTTCAACGTGTTGTAATTGTCTGGTCGGTCCCTGGTGCGTAAAAATCGTAAATATTTGCCCTCTTGCTTGCCTGCATTTGACCAAGTTTGTTCTCGGCGTGATTGGGATTGATTGGGGTCAGCCAGTCGTTGTTCCATCTCGCTTTGTCTGTTGCGGAAATAATTATTTAGTAACAAGTATTAACATCAATCCTTTCAAAATTTCTCACCTAACGTTTCGATCTCTGGCCCTCTTGACACTGTCTTTGAAGAAGTCTGCAGCCAATTGCGAGCACTTTTTTTGGTTGTTTTGTGTCAAATTGCCATATCGGTCCGGGTTCCTCTCTGGAGCTGGCTGAAATTCTGGACGAATTTGCTGCGAAGCTTGAGTGGGCATAGGATTTAAGTAGCTCGAGTAACCTTGCTGTTGGGTTGGTGCTCCAGCAGTTCTTGGTCTTTGACCCGGCGATGCTTGACGATTACCATATGGTGAGCCCCTGCCACCACCTAGATTTTGGTGGGAGAACTGATGGGCCAAACCATTCGTGGCGTCATTTTGTAAATTGACGGATCTTTGTTGGTAGGGTTGCTGTTGTTGTTGCTGTTGTTGATACCCAGCAGGAACCTGTTGTTGCGGGTAGCCTGACGGGGGGTATTGGTTATTCATGAAGTATCCTGCGGGAGGTGCGAATCCTTGGTTATAGGGTTGCTGTGCGCCTTGTTGAGCTTGCTGTTGCTGTTGTTGTTGTGGTTGCTGAGCTTGACCTTGTCCTCCACCTGGAAATATTGGATTTGGAAATGTTGATGGGGTTGTTGGGTATGCACGATCGTTTGGGGCGAATCTGTCGTTTCCGAAATTCAAGTGTAGTCGGTTGTTCATCGGATTACCATTGGCGTTATTGTTACCGACACTATTGCTATTGGGATCCATCTTAATTGTATGGATATTCGACCTAAAAGACGGATATTGGTGAAACGGAGTAGTGTATCTCTTGATCCTAGAGGTCAGGAAATAAAGCGTAGGGAAGTCGCGTTTGCTAAGTGTTAAAGTTTCGTGTCCACCGCTTGTGCGTTGTTCATGGATGGATTGATGGATTCACTTTTTGCTTTTCCCCTCCTCTATTATTCTATTTTTTGATATGAACACTAGATGAAAAGGAAAGATGCTCTCTTCACAGGTTCTCCAAAAAAGAAAGAATTAAAAAAAAATCGAATTGAATTGGACAGAATTGAACTGAATTGAATTGGATCGAGAAACTTTTACAAATAAGTTCTTCTAGATTTATAAAGGGGGATGTTCAAGGCTCTCTCGCACTGGCTGATTTTCTTACATCCTCCCTGACCTAATTAAGGGATGAAGTTCGTTTGGCTCTGGGCTCACCAGCAGCCAGCTTGCTCTCTCTCTCTGTGACATGTAACTTTTCGTAGCGAAGCTCTGATGCCAGCCTTTGGGTCCAAAATCACTGCATAAACGTTTTCCTATTGGTTCAAACGGATCAATGCTTGCTTGAAAGGGAAAACTACTCGGTTTTTGTTGATCATCAGGGGTAAAGGAAGAGAAAGATATAGTCCGTATATTACGATTTGTCTTCCCTTGATTAATTATATTGTTAGGTTTACGGAGCACATACTCGTATTTACGATCTTGAATTGCAGCCTGAGCCTGTTGGGTTTTGAATAAATTTGAAGTCGAAGCAAATCCGTGGTAATTTTAATTAGACTGTGCAAAAGGACATGAACGATTCGCAAGCTTTAACGAAGCTCAGAGTCTCAGAGTCTCTTCGATTTTGCACATCTGTGGAGGTGTATACAGAGCATCCTTAAACATTGAATGTGGAAGCCATCGTGAAAAGATATTTCAGAGGATCTTCTGCAGGAGAACTTTGGAGGTTCCATGCGTTCTATGCATCTTCCCTAGACACAATGGAAAGTTTGTTCTTGGCGTCACCCCTGGAAAGCCTAGAAGCCAATTTCTTCGATAGGTTATCATCGGGTACATACTGCGTAGTACATGTACCGGTCCTGTATTATCTCCGAGTCGCACGTGGAAATGGTGTCAATGATGCTTCGAGGAGTACAAGGGTTACAAGGCGTTAAACTTTTCGAGAGTACATACATGTTCTGAGTACATACCACAAAGAAGTAGTCACACGAGCAAAAGACTCCTGAATTATATACGGAGTAGGTCAATAATATCTCGCGTCGTATCTGATTGAAGTACTTAGTACTCCGTACGTAAGCAGCCCGCATGGGAGAAATGTGAGTCTTCTAGCCTTTCGACAACCCCTGGTGCATGCACATGCTTATCTTGAAGGAACTGGGGTCTTTCCGTCGGATACTTTGCTTTGAGCCTCATTTCACTACAATTCACCACAATTCCCTACTACAGTAATGACATGTCAAAGGTTGCGAAATCAATACCACGACATTACACGGACAGGCAAGATTTACTCTAACAGATATCCGCACTTCAACCTTAATGTCTTCATAAATTATCTCCATGTGGGAAATAGCTAGATGAAATTTCTAGAATACGGTGGAAGTCAATGACACTAAATTTACCTTACCGTGGGCAATCGAAGCGAAAATGAAGCCTACGTGAATGAGAAGATATTTTGAGTGGAGTCCGTATGTTTGATTGCTTTATCCATCGTTATTATCCCTAAACTTTCTCATCATCAATCTCCATCGTCGTCAAGGACAATTTCTAATAACTTAGGATCCCTCGCCCAATCAACACCACTACCAACTACCACAGCACTAGCAGTATTCTTCATGATCCTCCATCTCTGTCTACTATTCTTCATCGCTGCCTCCAACTCATCCAACTGTGCACGAACCTCAGGATCTTGAATGTTTTCTTTCCCTTGACTACTCGCCTCTTCTGCCAAAACCATCATTTCCGTAGCTAGTTCAACGTTCTTCCTGCCCGTAATAATGTTCTCGTTGGACTCTTTCATCAACTCTTCTCTTGATGATTGGAGGTTATTAGATACCTGAGCCAGGTTTTCAGAAAGAGCATCACGTTTCTCAATGAATGGTAGGAGGTCCCTATGGATTTGTTAGTAATGCAAGAAGTATTTTGGAAGAGAACAACCTACTGTTCTATAACGGAGGCATTACTACCCGCATGAACTGCCTTCAATATGGGATTGGCAATAACAACATTTTCAATAATTTTCGACCGTAACGTGTAATTAGCTTTTGACTCAAGAAGGTCTTTCTCTGCCTTTCGGATATCTCCATCAGTGACTTCTTCTGGTTGATCTAAAAATGGTCAAAACACGTGCTCTGAAAATTTGTGTATAGGAACATACCCCCTGAAGAAATAACACCTTGAGCTTTCAACAAAGCGATCTCAACTTGGAGGTCTTCTAATTTGTCATACACTTCCAAAATGCGTTTCTCCTGCTCACTTAAGGGGGGTAAATCGTTGGCCGGTCCCGTCATCTCAACCCCTTCCATACTTTCAACCATTTCTTGACGCGACATCTTCACTTCCGCATCTGCCTTCTAGAGCTCAATACAGAGGAATCCAGATATCTAAGATTTGTTGTTCGTGGGAAACGCGTCTTCTTCGAGAACACACAGATCCAGAAACGGATTAGTTCCCAACAACGGCCAGCCACATATAATGTGTGGCACGCGCTGAATGAAATGAAATAAGGTTAACCTACCTCTTTCAAAATTCTATATCAAATCGATCCATCAATATTCCCAGCTGAAACTTTATTAAGCGTTTTTAGACTTTTCTCATTCATTAAATTGAGTTGTCTCCAATCAACTGTTCTATAGTTAAGGCTACCATCAATTAATACAGGTGTTTTCAATTATTCATTCAATCTGTGTGGCTTGACCAGACAAGGCGGCCAAACCTTAACTCATACACTACCGTCTCCAACCAGCCTTGTGATCTTAGTGACCTTATTAGTACCTTGATCGTTATGCCACAAAACATCTTCTACCTTTCATAAGACGAAGAGCAATCTAGCAAGTTGCTGAAACTGTGAGATGCATGAACAGATATGGAATTACACGTATACATTGCCCATACGGGCCAACATCTTCAAGTCGACCCTGGATCCTTCACCTCGTAAGTTTTCTACATCATGTTAGTTCGATCATAGATGCTGACAACCTGCAAGTTTGGACGATTTCAAGAAATGGGTAGCCAAATATACGCCTATTGCCGCCAGTGATCACATATCTCTTACCGCGGCAGCCAAGGCAGTGCGATTTCAAGCTCTTTCCTCAGAGGTACCCATGATGGCATTGCCAGACTATACATTTACTAATTTAATCTAGCAAGAGATATTCGTATACGATAGGCGCATCATCCAGCAATCCTCTATTGCATCCGCAAAGTCATTGATATCCGAAATCCCTCTACCGCGCAAATACACCGTCTCTCAACCCCCAGACTCGATCACAAACGAGAAGAACCTACAAGCATGGAAAGACCTATTCGCCGAGAGACGGGCATGGGCTGTGAAGGTGGTGGACGATTGTGCTGCCATGTCAGATCAAGCGCAGCAAAGATATATCGAGACAGAGGTGATTACTCGATGCGTGGATACCGCCGTTTTGAATTTGGAGAAGCATGTCAAAGCGCTGGATCAAAAGAATGCGGAGGTTCAAAACGACGTCGAGGAGATGCAAAAGCTCAATACCACTAACAGGAATTGGGAAGCGTCCATATCTCGACTAAAATCACTACCTGCGAGCGCAGATGTGATCAAGTTCATCACAGGCCGGGATTTGTCGAATATGCAGCGCCCGATCACCTTGGGGGACCTGATTGATGCTGAGGAGGTTAAGAGATCTGGAAAGATGTTACGGAACATCTCGACAAACCTCGAGCAAAAGAGTGTAGAGGTCGGTCAAGATGTAGACGAGGTCATGCGAAGAATTGATCTTCTAATCGAAAAGGTCGAGAAGAGTCCTGCACGAGCGGCTATTCCGCATGCTCAAGAGCCTATTTCTTTAATGGAGGATATTGAAGCTATCTCTAAAAAAGTCAATACTGACTGTGAAACTGTCCTGGGCTTTGCTAATACCCCGAAAAATATTTCACAGGCTTCAAAATCGGCCCTTCTTCACACCGAGAAATTCTTACCATCTTTATCGAAAAGAGCACTGGAAATGGAGGGAATGGTGCAGACTGTTACTAAATTGCGAAATTCTACCGCAATCTCGTCCCTAGAGTTCATGTATGACATTGCTAGCCTGACAACAATGCTTGCCGAAGTAAATGGTCGATTTGCCGCCTTGGAGTTAGATAGTGATGTGATTGATGCCTTGCATATGATATCCATGCTAGACACATTACCAGTCACGTATGCTTCATTCTTGGCCGAGGCGGTTAGACGAAGCGAGTGGGATGAGAAAGTCAAATCAGATTCTTCTACCTTGGCTAACGAAATGGCGAATTTCCAGGAGGAGGAAACCAGGCGGCGACGAAAGTGGCAGAAGAACATAGGGGCTACTCTGTGGGAAGAGAAGCCCGAAACGCAAGTCATGGCTTTGGAAGTTATCTTGCATGGGGAGAAAGATGATTGGCCTCAAGCATCTAGACGGGATTTAGAAGAAATTTTCGAAATACTTAAAGCTGACGATTCTCAATCTCCGATCGTAAGCGACATCTCAAGAATCATTTCAGATCTTAACAATCCAACGAGGCAGCAAAGCAGGAGGGCAAATGCCTTTAAAGCAGGAAGTATTCATGAATCTGCTCTTGGCAAAAGTGCTCTCCTGATGCGTGGAGATAATGACGTGTTAAAAAGCCTGCAAGATGATAAATTAAAGCTCGAAAACAAACTTAAAACTGCTGAAAGTCGAGTTCGAAGGCTTGAAGATCTATTCCATCGGCAAACACAGGTTAGCAGGACTTCAAGTGGTAATGTATTTCCAGTACCCAATAATCCTAGCCCGGATGTCCAAAATGTGGCAAATCCCATGGCGTCACCACGTCTCAATGACGACTCTCGTCGTTCTTCCATCTCATCTCGACGCTTTTCTGCAAACCGAGGAGAGGAAGAAAAGGCATTCCAGCAGAAATTGCTTTCCTTGGAGGCAGAATTGATAGCCGAACGTGAACGTGCTTTGGGTCTCGAGAAAGAAGTTTCTGCGAAGAACACCTCAATGAGCGAGTTGAACTCTCAACTTGAAGAAGTAAATTCTATGAAACAAGACCTTTCGGAAAACTTCAAAGCACAGCAACGTGATTTCATGGAAGAGCGCAAATCTTTGGAAGTCGAAATCAAGCGCCTCAAGGCGAGACTAGAAGAGCTGGAGGACGAGATTGATAGATATATAGGCTCCAGAGAGAATGAGAAGTCCGATGTTGATGATCGTCTTCGTCTCTTACAAGGAGAGTTGGAAAAATTACGCAAGGATGCTGCTGCGGAAGCTCAGAAAGCTCAAGGTCAGGTTGACTTTTTGAGAAATGATGCGAAATTACAAAGGGAGACCAATGAAACTTTGGAAAGACAAATGCAGAGCCTCAGAGAAGAAAAGAAGGAATTGATGTCCCGGACTATTCAAGCAGAATCACTCGCTGAGGATCAACTCAAAGCACTGCAAGATATGCATTTACAACTATCGCCGAAGTTAAGGATGCCACAAGAGTTCACAGCTCTTTCAGGATCATTGACCAACAAATCATTGAACCTGTTATCTGACCTTGAGAATACGAAACGGGATTATAACCTTGCGAAGTCACAACGAGATGACGCAGAGACGACAATATCAGAACTCAAAGACGAACTTACGAAATATAGAGAGAAATTTGATCGCGAAGAAAAGGCATCTCGATCCCTTCGCGAAGAATTAGCTTCCGAAAAAGCTAAATTTACCGCTCTCGAGGCCGAACTTACTGATGAACGCCTTCAATTAAGCTCCCTAAGAACCAAGATGGCGGACGGCGAGACGGGCTCCGAAGCTCTGCGCAGTCGTCTGGAGGAAGAAGAACGAAAGGTCACATCATTGTCGGAAGATCTCGCTGGACAGCTTTCACGAATTGGGAGTCTTGAGGAAGAAACGAGATCGCATACAGAGAAAAACCAGTTTGCACAAGAAAGGTTTGAGAGATTGAATAGCCGATTCGATTCACGTACTTCACGTGCAAAAGACCTCACGCAGCGATTGTACTCACAAAATGATAAACTTGTCCGACTACTTGAGCGATTGAGTTATTCTGTCACCAAGGAGAATGGCTCCATGATCATTCAAAAATTGCCAAAGCCTGATCGTAGCATCATCAATGGAAATGATTCCTCGGATGCGGGAAATAAAATCAGGCGAAGCATGACAGGCTCTACAACCATGAGAGCCATGATTGATAGTGGAGATCTCGACTTGTTATATTGGATGCACAACGATGATCCTGAAGCAGAAGGCGAAAAGTATGATGCTTATATCAATTCTATCGGTAGTTTTGATGTGGATAACTTTTGCGAGGTCATCGCAAAGAGAGTCAGGGATATAGAATATACAGCCAAGAAATACTCTAAGGATGCTCGTTCTTACAGGGAAAAGTCTCATAGAGCTCAAAAGGAAGCTCACGAGAAAATTGCTTTCAAGAATTTCAAAGAAGGCGATCTAGCTCTGTTCCTACCAACTAGAAATCAATCTACCGGAGCATGGGCTGCGTTCAACGTTGGCGCTCCTCATTACTTCCTTCGGGAACAAGATTCCCATAAATTGCGCTCACGCGATTGGTTACTAGCTCGAATACACAAGATCGAGGATAGAGTTGTCGACCTCTCCAAGTCCATGACCGACGGTCGCTCCTTTGCAAGTACCGGCGGCGATTCCTTCGAAGATGATAATCCGTTTGATCTTTCTGACGGTCTCCGCTGGTATCTCATCGATGCTGCGGAAGAAAAGCCTGGTGCACCATCTACCCCCGGTCTCGCCAAAAGCACAGTCGCCAGCGCAAATATTGACGCCACAGCAACAATTCGTCGTTCCAAAAAATCATCTACTACCGGTGCTGAAGGTCTCAATAAAACTCTTGCCAAAAGTCTCGATAGTCGTCGGAGTAGTAGTACTTCTAAGAAAGCCATTCCGGCTGCTTCAATACAACTGAGAAAAACAGACTCTACGGCTTCGGTTAGTGGATTGAGAAATGAGGCGAATGATGATGTGACGAGTACGGGTGCGGACTCAATACTTGTGAGGAATGTAGATGGCATTGCTGATGGAAAGGCCAATAGCGAGGTTCGAAACCCTTTGGATAACCTCTTGGGTCCTTGATCTTGACTTGTTTGCGTCTGTCTCTTGTGTTTTTGAACTCTTCTCGCTTGTATGCCTGTGCATATTCTCGTTCTGCTACCAATCATCCTATCTTATGTTATGTTACGTTGTGTTATGTGCTATCGCACCACCCTCCCCAAGCAAAAGCATACGCTGATAGTGCGAGTATTTCTTAGAATATTCATCATGTTCATCATGTTCATCATGTTCACAATAATCATAACTCTCCAGCAGCTTGGGGCACAGCTTTCGGGGAGCAGATGAGTTCGACAGCAGTCGCGGGAACGGGAGAAGGAAGATGTACCGCGGAAGAGGGAGAGGGACATTCATCATCATCTTTATGGCAGAATTATGCGAGGAGATCGGTGGTGTGGGATTCTTTGTGGTCGGTAGATCTTAGTTTGGTGAGTGAGAAGGGGGGGAGACCGAGAGGGTTTTAGGGTTCGGGTTTCTGGTTTCTGGTTTCGGGGTTCTGGTTTTCACGGTTATTGGTTTCTTCAAGGTGTGGGATTAAGAGGGTGATGTGTAGTGGTGATGGTGGTGAGAACAAGTAATCTGTAATTTGGTAGGTAGGTAGGTAGATGGGTAATTAATTGTATGATAGAGATGGGGATAGGGATGGGGATATATGCATGGATGAACGGACGGATGGACGGATCAAAACATAAGGTGCAATATGATGGAATAATTTGACCTGGCTCTGCTTGGTTTGCTTTGCTTTGCTTTTTTGGGGGGGATGTAGGATGGGTGTATATATATCAAATATAAATATAAATTCAAATATAAATATAAACTCAAATATAAATATAAATATAAATATAAATACAACTTTGGATTTCAACCCTAACCCTAAGTCTCCCTCTAACTACTCGAGTATTATAAATATATTTAATAATCTAATGTAAAAAGAATAACTCATTTTTCGTTTATTTATTTATTTGACTTTTAAATAAAATAGACTAGATAAACTATGAAGTTTAGATCTGATATAGTATTATATATATACTATGTGTGTCATGTAATACCAGAAGTAAGGAGAGCGAGGAAAAGTTTTAATGGCTTGATACTTTTAATAACATGTAGAACAAGTATGTTTCGTTTACTTCTACTTCTCTACTCGTAGTATTGGAGCATACAGCATAGCATGTTTTATCATAGCATCACAACCACAATACAACTACATCACAATTACTTAACCATCAAAATCAAATATAAATGAACATACAATGTATATTCTACTAAAGCACAAATTTATATGCTCTAAGGTCAAGGCAAAAGGCCGACCTATACTACTTGACCATGGTTGAAGAGCCAAGTAACGCCCGCTTTATAAAATTCATCCATAAACCCTTTATGTTGAAACTTTTCCCTTGTAATCCCCTGTATATGCCGTTGAAGGTCAAAATGCTTTTCCTCGGTATCATTGAAATCATTACTCATGTTGAAAGATTTATCCACAGCTCGCCTTAAAAAAAAATATTAAAAACCCAAATAAACAAAATCTAGTAACGGTAGATTTCGGACTTGAATGGTCCCTCAACCTCAAGACCAAGGTACTCGGCTTGGACTGGGGTCAATCTGGACAATTCGGCGTTGACGTGTGCCAAGTGAAGCTTGGCAACGGTCTCATCCAAAATCTTTGGAAGAACGTAGACACCAACTTCGAGCTTTTGGGTCTTACCGAACTCAACGTACTTCTTGCCGAAAGCCTCATCCTCGCACTTGAACAACATGATTTGAGCAAGGACTTGGTTGGTGAAGGAGCATGACATGACGAAGGAAGAGTGACCGGTAGCACATCCCAAATTAACGAGACGACCCTCGGCAAGTAGGATGATGTGGCGACCGTTCTTCATGAGGTATCGGTCGACTTGGGGCTTGATGTTTTGAACGCTAGCGGCGTTTGCCTTCAACCAGGCAACGTCAATTTCGATATCGAAGTGACCAATGTCTATTATACGATTAGCAATTGAATGATATTAGAGGAATAATGTACTTACTGCAGACAATAGCATCGTTTGGCATGGCCTCGAAGTGCTCACCAACCAAGATGTCTCTGCATCCAGTGGTGGTAACGAAGATTTGACCAACAGAAGCGGCCTTCTCCATTGGCATAACTTGGTAACCGGAGACAGCAGCTTGGAGAGCGTTGATAGGATCAATCTCGGTAACGATGACGCGAGCACCCATTCCGTGAAGAGCCATAGCACAACCCTTTCCAACATCACCGAAACCAGCGACAACTGCGACCTTACCAGCAATCATAACATCGGTAGCACGCTTGATACCATCGACCAAAGATTCACGGCATCCGTACAAGTTATCGAATTTTGACTTGGTGACGGAGTCGTTGACGTTAATAGCTGGGACGAGGAGACCCTTGTTCTTCAACATCTTGTACAAGTGGTGAACACCAGTGGTGGTCTCCTCAGAAACACCATAGCAGTCCTTCAACATCTCTGGGTATTTGTTGTGTACGAGTTGAGTAAGATCTCCACCATCGTCGAGAATCAAGTTCAGGCTCTTGCCATCCTTGAATGCAACGAGTTGTTGTTCCAAACACCAGTTGTATTCCTCTTCGGTCTCACCCTTCCAGGCGAAAACTGGGACACCGGCAGCAGCAATGGCAGCAGCAGCATGATCTTGGGTAGAGAAGATGTTGCAAGATGACCAGGTAACCTCAGCACCGAGGAATGTGAGAGTCTCGATCAAGACAGCGGTTTGAATGGTCATGTGTAACTACATAAGTCAGTCTCTCAGTCTTCACTCCGATCAATAGAAATTCAGGGGAATACATACACATCCAGCAATACGGGCACCCTTCAAAGGTTGATCAGCAGCATACTTCTCACGAGTAGCCATCAAACCTGGCATCTCATTCTCAGCAAGCTCGATTTCCTTGCGACCGAAGGCAGCAAGACTGAGGTCAGCGACCTACGAAGATTCAATTAGTATACTGAAATCAACAGTTCTGGATGGAGTGTTTATTTACCTTGAACTTGGATGCTGGGGCAGACATTATTGGTGAGGGGAAGAAGATATTGAGGGAGAAAGATACTGAAAGATAAGAGTCAATTCAAAGTGTACAAAATTGTAGTGATAATTGGAATAGATGAGGAATTGATACTTACATTTATTTGAGGAATGGACAGAGAAAAAAGAAGAGATTTGGATGTTTTTAAAAAGAGAGATGAAATGGGAGGATAAATAGAAAAACTTCGGGGGCCGACACTTCGACTAGTGATGGAGGGGTGAGAAAGAGGAAAATTCAACACTAATCCAAATACGGTTAGATGGAGAATCCTTGGACATCGGAAAGCCCAACAATAGGAAACGTTTCACAAAGAGACACCGTCCGGGTAGGTAGATATTCAGATACTAGGGATACTAGGTACAGTTGGATAGGTAAGACGTACATTATTACGGTTGTAAACATTAATGATTAACTAGGTAGTAAGGTAGGTAGGTAGTGAGTTGTCTGAATGCAACACATACTACTGCTGTACTAAGCATTGAATATAAGAATCTGCTCAAAAGAACTACAGTCCAGGTGGCGGATCCCTTGGTTGCTTCTATCTATCCTACTTATATCATATGGCTGCTGAACGAAGTGGAGGTTTAACTATTCATCCCCAACATGAGTATGGATTGGAACACTGGCACAAGTAAATATCTAATTAGGTACTGAATGTAGTAACGAAGTAGAATCTTTTTAATAGATGGCAGACCCTCTCATTGCTAGCTGTCTATCTACTGCTTACATATTATATAAACATCATATGATTGCTCGCTCATACTAATATGAAGTGAAGTGAAATGAAAGTTGGAAAATTCAGGGTCAACATGAAAATGAATTGAGGCATGCGGGTGGGTATCACTGATAGCAGTAGAATCCTATAAGTGGGTTGATGTGCATATTGGTGGGTGGACAATATCAATGTCCGTGCATTTTTGAAAGGAATATACGAGATATCTATACATCCATGAGAAAAGTCCTCAAGATGCCGTCTATCGTTCCTGTTTTTGATCATGAATATGATCCCACATATTGACATAACCCTCTGAACGCCATGCCCATGCAAGAAATCCCTCATAAGTGCCCTAGCTAGCAACCGTAAATTTTTGCCCTACTACCAGCTGCATTACATACGTTTCTTTTTAAGACTGTTCTGGTAAGAGGTTGCTCTTTACTGCAAACATCTTTCCGGTGATGCTAGCAGTGAATCCATCCACTTGTCTCGAGTACTGATCAACTTGTCGTGCATTCAACATACCCTCCAATCTGCTTGGTTCTGTTGGAAGCTTGAAGAGTCTCTCCCACTCATCCTCTGGTAAAGGTGCGAGTTTCTGTGTAGCCCGACTGGCATTCTCCGCCGCACGCTTGGTCTTCCATGCTGTGACCTTGGCTTGCTCACGAGTCAATTGTCTTTGGAAGTATTGGAAGTTGTTGAGTTCGGTGTAATGGGTTTCGATGCTGTCCAAAAGCATATCACAGGTTCTCTCCAAGTAAGGATCGATGGATAAATCCAAGGATTCCAAGTTGGGGTAGAGTGGAGTTGGTGGTGTGTTTCGAGTGAGGTCTGCGAGACTTGCAGGGAAGTCAAGTTCTTTCTTTGGTAATTCGACTGGCATTTGGTGCAAAAAGGAGGTCAAAAGATGAGAGTTGTGGACGATGATAGGTAATTCGACCAAAATGTCTTTGTATGTGAGCTTTGACTTTTGCATGCTGTCCTATTGTCAGTGATGGCATTATGATAGCATATTTCATATACGTACTTCTCAGTGGTAAATTTGCCCTCCTTGTAAGCGGTCATGAAGTTTGGTGAAAGTCTGAAAGCACGTAGACTCAAAGCACCTTGAGCACTTCTGCTGACATCGTGGACGAGCGCAACAGTTCTCTCATTTGGCTCCTTTTGGTAGAAGAATTGATTTTCGATCAAGCTGGTGTTGATAAAGTTCCCCATGTTGGCACTTGTGTACCATCCAACGTTATTCGCATCAACATTGACTTCCTTTAACATCTTGATCATCTCACTTTGGTAAACAATATTTGCTTTTGATCTTGGGGCTGCCGCAGCAATGTTCGAGGCGGCCATATGGTCATTTGGGTGAGAATCGGATGCGGCGACGTCTGCCGTTGGGAATGGGAAGGAGTTTGTGATTTGAAGAGTTCCATTTGAGTCCATACCAACGATAGATCCAGTAGCTGTAGTTGGGTAAGTTGCCGCACAAGCCTTTACAATCTTCATAACGACCTGTATATCGCATTAGCCAGAAGTTTAAATGGCTTGCTTGTGATTGTTCATACCAATGCCTCAACTTGTACTGAGTGCAAAGGCACCTCTTTGCTAGTAGTGTCCGCCATGATGAAATATGATCCAAATTCGTGATCTCTCGATTTCGAATAACTACTGCCAATATTTCAATACGTTCTGGCGCAAAGTCGAGGAGTTCCGCGTCAAATAGTCGTTGTCGCAAAAAGGTGGGTTATTTTTTGAAGATGATTGTATTCATTTGTGTGCGAAGTCTTGGCGTTTTTTTACACTAGCGATGTGCGGAAATCTGAACCCCGCGCGAATCTGCTTCTATTCAACTCTTTCAAACACCACAGACGGCAGTAATCTTCAGAGAACTCAACCTCATAACCCATCTATGCAATATACTTTGGGCCTTTTTACATTCTTACGATCAATATATATATTGGACTTACAGTATCAATAACTAGGAACATGGGAGCTCTAGGTAATCTCAAAACGATCTTGGTCTCTAATTTGTCTATCTATTGTGGTATCTCGAAAACAAGCAAACTTCCAGCAAGTCTATAAAATCATAGGTAACTCCTTCTACGCCTGGCCAGTTTATAATGGCGATATTCATCCCATCGACCTCAGGAATTGGCATACCTGAAAGGGCCTCAGGGCACGAGATGTTATCTTTCAATCGACCCATTGTTCAATCTCCCATTCTTTGATATCATCCTTCACGAGGAGTCTTAATCGCTCGACTACAAGATTTGATAAGCATTTTTTCACGAATTTCGCCATAGAATGAGCTTACTTTTCCACTCCGTATACATGTGTCTGGCAGCATTCGCTGCGGCGCGATGGTGTGGACCCACGCTACCAATTTTGGCATCTCGAGAACTACGCCAAACACAAGTTGCGAGGTTTCGTCCGTTCTTGTCAGGTACACCAAACCAGTATCTGGAGACCATCAGTCAATTGCTATGGGGATCGAGAATTTTTACTTACTTAAGAAACCCTCCACTTTCAGTTGCCTCGGCGTGTGCAGCTTTGTCGAGGACACCAAGGTCAGAGTAGTGGGCGACAGTTTCGGGCGGTACCTGAGATCTGAAGACAACAATATAGAAAGATTCCTCTTTCCACTTATGATTGGAGGTTTTGGCCAACTCTCGAAGGGTATCTATAATCTCTTGCCACTAAAGAAAAGTCAGCGACCCTCCAATCACAATTTTTGATTGACAGGTCAGAACACATACATTGAAAGTCTCGAAGTATGGTGCAGTCGCATAATCTTCCCTTAGACATTTCATTCCAACTAGAGCTCTAGCAAGCAATTGGTTTGGGGTATCTAAAGTATCGAGATCCAGTAGATGAGGTTTTTCATCATATGGGCTAACCACCAGGTATCTATCCTCACTCGAGCTGTGAGCCATGCTGTCAGAAACAAGAGCCTGCAAACTGGCTAAAGAATCAGCTTCGTCGGAAACTCCGAAACGTTCCACGTCGTCGAATGGTAGAATTGGGGATGCAACGGCCATGATGTAAGAAGGTATGGGGATTTCAGGTCCGATTGATTTTAGGAAATTATAGAGGAAAGAGAATTGATATTTAAAGAGATGTATTGAGGACTGGAGAAATGTAACGAGTTTGATGTCTTCTAGACTTGATAGGAATGAGCCCACGGGAAAGTCAAAGATATAAGAATTGGAAGAAGGCAGTGGATCCAGGAAGGAGCGTCCAGGACGCAATTGCCCGAAAAGATACCACGACATGGTCCAGTAATCAGTAGAATCTCACTTTTACAAATAATCCCGGGGTTTCAGGCATTATAAGTGACTCGGGATGGCACGAAATTTGGTACCTATTGCGCCATTCGGGTATTGGAGATGATGCCTTTGTTTGCTCCGATTGTTAAATCCCAACCTCAAATTAGCTTCGCATGAACAAAGATACATGAAGGTTGCATGTGGGCACTAAAGATTCTATGGTATTGTTTGTGAAATATGAAATTTATTTTTGGAGCCTCATGTACATATGTTTCTTTTGTCAATATAAACGGTCTGACGCAATGACACCCAGGCGGTGAATTGGAACCACAATGTCACAACAAGCAACTGCAAGGAGTTTTACTCCCATTTCTAATCCTTCAATATCTTAGCTTAAGCATCTGGTATCACATATATCTGCTTGGCCGTCTCGAAATTCTATGTCTATTTCTGGTCTTTATTTCTCATTCTTTTAAGACTTACTGTCGCCATTAACAGCTCTGCTCTCGAATGTACTGGCTGACTATTTTCTTGACCACTTGAACAGTTCATCGAACCCATTGGCATTCTATACTCTCAGACGAAAGTGTGCGTTTATGTCACAGAGTGACGTTCATTTGAATTAGTTGTAAGTAAAAAAATATCGAACGTGTATATAAAGACGCCGGTGTGATGGACATAGAACTCGAAATGTCCTTGGAATAAGAAATAATCTTGGTATTAAGACTGTCGTCTCATTACTCTCTAACGTACGTACACATAATGGCTTTACCGGGAACGCTCGTGGCATTTTAGATGCAGTGGAACCATTTCCCCGGATTTACTCGTCTCCATCTTTAGCCTCCCGTCGATCTCCAAGCCAGACCCTCCCACTTTCGTAGACCCCTAGATAAAGGCCGCTGCCCAGCGCCGTCCAGCCAGCTCTTAACAATGCGCCTCGAAACAAGCCTTTCACCCCAGCCTCCGCAACCACTTCTCGAGCAATCGTAAGACTACCTTTTTTCTTTCCACCAAGCGTATCCAGAGATTGGCCCTTCTTTTTGGCTTCCTCTATCTTTCTTTTGGCTTCACTTTCAGAGTTTTCCCCTGATGCTGCGAGCATAATTCTAGTCTTCACAACATCTACTGGAGTTGTAATTACAGCTGCAATAGACCCGGCAGTTCCAGCACTCATCGCTGTGATGGTTGCTGTTTCGAGTAATGAACCAGTCCTAGTTCCATTTTCCCTTCTATAGCTCTTAAGCGACTCTTTCATATGCTCAAACATAGGAAATTGCATTGCGGTAAATGGTAGGTTTCGAGCAGCTAACGCGGTATAACCTGTGAATAACTGGGAAGGTCTTTTGAATTGCTTCAAAGCTTGCATTGTGACAGAAGCCCCGGATGCTGATGAATGTGCTGGTTGACGTATCATCTGTGCATTCTGCTTCAAGACCTCAGCAGGCGTGAGAATAAAACATGATACGAGTTCTGCTACTGCCGAAGCTGCACTGTGAACAAAGGGTTGTGGTATCAATGGAGTATTATTCCCACTCAAGCTTGTATTTGCTTTGGTAAGAACAGTTTTTATTCCTTCATATGTGGTGAAAAATGCTCCTGCTACGGGATGTCAATATTGAGGTGGGTTTTCAAGGTCGAGGGGTCGAGGGGTCATACATGATGGTATTGTTACTAAAATCACAGGTCCCACTCCTTGATATAATCCTCGAAATAGTACTCCTCGATTGATTGCCTTTTTGGATGCATCGTAGTAGATCTTTTTGTAATCTGGACTTTGAAATCGGGTTTTAAGGGTGTCCAATGGGTATACTAGAAGGTCGACAGCTACTGCTGCACACGCTCCCGCCTTGATGTCTGTTAGAAACCTGATAGTTTTCGAGTAGATAAATTGTGCATCTCAAACCAAAGAAGCTCTATAGAATAAGAAATCCTACGTAGTACAGCCTAATAATTTGGAAATTGACACTTGAAAACCCCTTTCTACCTGCTTCATTCTTGATGTTGAAAGTGCATCTAATCATCTTTTCTAGCTCACCGGGAGCAATACTGAAAGCCATTGAGGGGTAATTTTCCGGGCGCAAACACTTGTCTGCTTTCACTATTGCAAAACTTTATAAATTATCCAAACTTACGAGAAGAACGTCTGTATGTGAATTCGACATCTGAAATCATAATGAAGAAAATAAAAGACTTCAGTGAGAATGTTGGAAGTAGGAGATAGACCCGTTCAACTGTCGTCATAGAAAGAGCTTTATCGGACGCTAAGATAATCTTACCATGTATTGTAATCAAAGAAAGTCGAGCTCCCGCCTCGACTTCATTTGGCCACTCAGTACTTACTTGAGAAGATAATCTTTATTTTACCCATAAACCTCACATAGTAGAAATAAACTTCGGATCATTTTCACACTGGCGAACTGGTTTTGGTCAACAACCTCTAGAGCTGAGGTTGCAAAGAGAGCTCTTCGAGAGACAATGGCAGAACCTGTCTCATTACCACAAACATTAACTCCACAGTTTTGTTTCTCGACCGTTGCGCTAAGAGGTATTTCATTGTCTATCCTAATGTTATATATTACTCAATCTCATATTTCCCAGATTTTCTTCGTATATCTCGCGCCTCAGTCGACGATATTATAACACAAAATCTCAATGCGCTCGTAACACCCTCAACAGAAGGTTTCGATCCCTCATCTACCTCAACCCGCATTCCTCGATCCCCTCACTCAAAACAAATACCTGCTGCTGCATGCCAGCGTTTTAAGGATTCAGTTCTATTTTCCTCGTGGCAGTCAAGATCAGATGTACTGAATTATTGCGCTTCGGTTGCTACGAGTCCCGATCCTGATGATCCGGATTTGTTGGAGAGACAGGTGGAGAGTGCGAGGGATAGAGGAAGAGTGGTGGATGAGAGGTTGGATCCTTATTCGGCGAGGTTCTTTCCTAAAGAGGCGCGGACGGAAAGGTTGGCAGCTATTGTGAGACAGGAGAGAGGGGTGGAGAGTATTATAAGGGCGAGGAGTTGGGGGTTAGTGAGGGAAAGATGTGGAGGAGATACGGAAGATTGGGAAGAAGCTCTAGATCAATGGAGGAAGAGGAGGGAAAAGAGTTAGTCAGATTGGTCAGTGTGTATGGAGTGTGTGGATGTATGATTGTATGATTGTATGATTGTATAGAAGCGGGAGTTTTTGGATGGGTTTGGCAGACTATACACAAGCCCTAAATGGCCGTCATGAATGAAAAAAGGAGGATCTTGTATGAACAGTAATAGACAATCTATCAACTCTACTGAACTCAGTACAACACATGGAGAAATACCTATATCTTACGCCATTACACACGAGTAAAACATGATGTGTATTAGGGATATCCAGTTATTGGTAAGACATCAGAAAGTTTGTGAAATCAACCGTAGATAGTTTTTGGCTGTACCTCAGAGATCAAATAAGAAAACAATTATTAGACGTGTATTACATTACATGACATTACACTAACAATCTGTCTTATTACCATCCATATATTACCATACTAGTGACAACTTAAGGGCACAACATATCTGAAAGCGGACTATGTCTTTCCCGGGGAATAGCCGGGACCATTGCAACCTCGAAAGTTCAGTACTGCGTAGACTTTATTACGAACAAACAACCCCTCCAATTCACACAACTTTCCACCAAAGCAGGGAATCTCTCATCTGCAAACCAGAATAATATCATATTGATCTTTTGATTATTATCAAGGTCTTTGATATAATATTTATATTCTCTAGAAGGAAATTAAAGCTCTGTCAATCCTGACATCAGAATCACAGAAACTATCTTTTAATTCCCCCCACGCTGTTGAATAGCTTTTCTGGTAAACTTAATTGAGCAACTATGCCACAACCTTTATCCTCGAAAGAGTCCTCACTCTTTAGGACTGTAGTTCGAAATTATGAAGACAAACAGTATAAGAAAGGTCAGCTATATATTTAACTTCCTCGCAGCCCTCGACTTACAATCTACAGGTCTGAAAGCTGCCGACCAGATTCTGAAAAAGAACCCCAAACATGGAGATACTTTAGCTATGAAAGCTTTAATTTTAAACTCTCAAGGAAAATCCGATGAAGCCTTTGCGCTTGCCAAAGTGGCCCTTCAATGCGATTTCAAATCACACGTCTGCTGGCATGTCTACGGGTTGCTCTACCGCGCGGCCAAAAACTTCGAGGAGGCTATTAAAGCATACAAATTTGCTCTGAAATTAGAACCAGAATCGCAGCAGATTCAAAGAGATTTGGCACTTCTACAAGTACAAATGCGCGACTATTCGGGTTACCTTGCCAGTCGCAGAGCTATGCTAACTGTTAGGTCTGGTATACGACAAAATTGGACCGCGTTAGCTGTAGCACTTCATCTCAATGGGGAATTGGCACAGGCGGAGCAGACCTTGACTACCTATGAGGAAACTTTGAAGAACCCACCTTCCAAAATCGATTTCGAGCATTCGGAAGCTATTATGTACAAGAATTCGTTGATCGCGGAACAGGGTGATATCAAGAGAGCTTTGGAACATCTTGAATCGGATGGAAAATACAATCTTGACAGACTAGCTGTGATGGAGTTAAGAGCAAAATACTTGTTCGAGCTTGGGCGAAAAGAAGAAGCTGTGAAGGCGTATCGCGCGCTGATCGACCGCAACCAGGAGTACAAGACCTACTATGATTCATTAATCCAGGCTATGGAGATCGATCCAACCGATTTGCAGGCTCGAAAAGCTATTTACGATGAATATGCGGCGAAGTACCCACGTTGTGACGCTGCGCGCCGATTACCATTGGACTTCTTAGAAGGTGAGGAGTTTAGAGAGGTCGCAGACAAGTACATTCATCGTATGTTGGATAAGGGAGTACCCTCTACATTTGCAAACTTGAAGCATTTGTATGCGAATGAGTCGAAAAAGGAAATCTTACCATCTATCGTCCAGCAATATATTGAAAGTGGAAAGAGTGAAGAAAGTTCAGAACCAAAAAGGGATGGTGATACATCTAAGGGCAATTCTTCAGCTTACTACTTCCTCGCACAACACTACAACTACTATTTGAGCCGCGATCTCGACAAAGCCATGGAGTATATTGAAAAGGCTATTGAATTAGAACCCAAGAGTGTAGACTTCCATATGACAAAGGCACGCATATTTAAGCATCAAGGAAATACTCAAAAGGCTTCTGAAATTATGGAAGAAGCTCGTAGTCTTGACACTAGGGATCGTCACATCAATACAAAGGCTGCCAAATATCAACTCAGGAATGATGAAAACGAAAAGGCCGAAAAGACTATGGGTATGTTCACAAAAGCCGATACCGTTGGTGGACCTTTAGCAGATCTTCATGATATGCAATGCGTTTGGTTTTTGACAGAAGATGGAGAGTCTTATGCTCGTCAAAACAAAATTGGGTTGGCTCTGAAACGATTCACAGCAGTGTATAACATTTTTGATGTTTGGTATGAAGATCAATTTGATTTCCATTCATTCTTTTTACGTAAGGGTCAAATCAGGGCCTACATAGATATGATGAAGTGGGAAGATAAAATCAGAGAACACCCCTTTTATAGCCGAACAGCTCTTTCAGCAATCAAAGTCTATTTATCTATGCACGACAAGCCCGCATCAAATGGAGTTAATGGATCCACGGATGATACTCAAGAAGATGCTATCGAGCGTAAAAAGGCGGCAAAGAAGGCTAGAAAGGAAGCAGAACGACTTGAAAAAGAAGCGTTGGCTAAGAAAAATGAACCGAATAAGCCAATCAAAGACCAAGATGGTGAATTTAAGAAGCAAGATGATGATCCTAATGGAGAGAAATTGGCGGCCACTACGGAACCATTGAATGATGCTATGAAGTTTTTGTCTCCGCTGTTACAGTTTAGCCCGAAGAATATTGAGGCGCAAATTCTTGGGTTTGAGGTACTTATTCGTCGAAGTAAGTTTTTCCTCTCTTGGAACGAATTTGATAATGTTGATATAATACTAATATATAAGTAGAAAAGTACCTCCTTGCGCTCAAATGTCTTATGGCATCCTCCTCTCTCGATAAAGAGAATGAAAGTGTAAAGGATCAAAAGACGCGTTTTCAAAAGGTTATAGAGACGGAACTTGAGGGGACAGATGCGAAGGTTGTGGAGATTATTAAGGAGGAATTTTTTAAGTTGTAGTGGGGGATATATTTGCGGTTGAAATAGGATGGGAGGGATGAGAAGGGAAAAGAGATATGGGAAAGGAAGGAAAAAGAGATAACCAATGCGAGGATTGACTGCAATATTGCAGGATTTAAATATAAAAAAGTTTCTCTATATAGTGCTCTAAAGTGTTTGCAAAGATATAGCATTATGGATTTATGACATGGTGTAGTATAGCATAATGATACGATAGGGGTATAGATTACTTTCTTCTTCTGCTTTTTGCCTTTTGTAGATGATAAAAAGAAAGATGAGAAGAATTTGATTTAGATTTATTAAATTACTCATCTACTTACCTATCTACTTATTTATTTCAATCTATATAAATATAAGAAAGATTAACTTATTATTGTGTTATTTAAATGATATTTTGATGTTTCATTTGGTTTTTTTTGTGGGAGGGGGAGGGTTTCTGGTGGTTTGAAGGTTTGAAGGTTTGAAGAGGTGAGAGGGGTAAGGGGAGTGGATGATTTATTAGATGATACAAGCGATGGATGAGTTTATATAATAATTATTATTATAATATAGTATAGTATATTTGATATGTTTGATATATTTGATATATTTGATGATATTATATATATAATATACTCCTGTATATACACATTACATCAAATAAACAATTCTTAATTCTTAATTTAATTTATTGTATTCATCTATTCTTTTTAAATTTCCTTGCTTGTCACTTCTCACTTCTCCCTTCCTCCTATCTATCTATATATCTATCTATATATCTATCTATATATCTATCTATCTATTTATTTCCTTCTAAAGAATCTTTGGAAATACTATTTATCTAGTAAGTGTGTATATATATTGATTTGGATGGTAGTAGGGAGATGGTAGATGGTGTTTAGGAGTTAGGAGTTAGGAAGGAGGGGAGGGAGGAAGAGAAGAGAGGGAGAAAGAGGAGGAGGTGAGAGGTGCTGCTGTGGACTTTTTACAGTATGTGTATTATAGGTCGCTCACTCGCTTGACTATCATCCATCCATCCATCCTAAATATACATACATCCACAGCTCCATATCCTACAGCAAAGCACCAATATAAGTGCAAGAACCACATATCATTCCTCAATCCCATTCCCAATCCCATTCCCATTCATCATTGATCCTCCTCCCCCACTTCACCCTGTTCCCAAGGTTTCTTCCCTTTATCACCACCCCACCACTTCAAACCCTTACGACCTAAACTTCTCAAACCTCCTTTAATCCAACCTTCTATCTCTTCCTCTTTCACTATAATATTCCTTGCTCTTTCTTCTTCTGCGGGAGTTAATTCCGCTTTACGCATTCGGGAGGCGATGCGAGGATCTAGAGTAATGGGTTCTAACCATGTTCTTTCTAGATCTGTGGGAGAACGGACGTGGACTGATTTGTGCCATTCTTTTTCTTCTGATTGGAGGAGGGTGGTTTGTTCTGGTTCCGGGTCTTCGGAGGTGGATGATGTAGATGAAGAAGTGTGATATGGTCGGTAGGTAGAGAGGATTATAGCGGCTGTGTCGCGACCGATTTGATCGGCTAGATGACGACGATTGAGAAATCGACGGAGTCGGGTGGGTGTGTTGAGAAATCCGAGGATATGGGGGAAGGAAATTGCGGCTGAGGGATCTAATTCTGTTGGAAAGGATGATGGAAGGTTTGCTGATGCGTAATCTGTGGTTGAGATGAACGGGGGTAAGTGGGATGGCTTTTCCTTCTTTTCCTCGGCTGGTTTTTCTTCAGGAGTCGACCCGGTACTGGTAGATGATGCATCATCTGGTTTGGATGGATCGGTATTAGTGCTTGTATGAATTGTGTTTCCTATGAGAGAATCGACTGGAGTTTCGGCTTCCGAGGTAGGAGCTGCTTCTAGGTTCTCTTCTTGTGGCTTAAGGGGTTCGGTTAATGGTCCTAACCAGCCTTCATGTAAACCCCTAATATATTCTTTCCAAGTATGTCTTCCAAGTACTATATCACCTCTTGGTCCATCAAATTCCTTAATTCCAGCATTTTTCCGTGTCGATAAAATAGGATCCCGTCCTTCAACACTCTCCTCAAAAGGTAATCTCGCATTACGAATTTTCTCCGCCAATTCAGCTCGAATTTCTCCCTCTCTTCTTCCTTGTATAAATTCCCAATCCAATCCCGAAGCTACCAATATCGGCTTAACATATTCTTTAAAATGATCTTGCGCAACTCTTAATCCATCAGTAGGAGGTCCTTCTAGGAAAACAGTAAGTTTCCTTGGCATGGTACGAGAATCTCCCAAAGGTTCTTTCGCAATATGTTCTACCAATCTACACCATTTTCTCTGCGCTCTCTTCTTTTCCCTCTTGTCATAGATGATGGCTGCTGTGAAAGATCCAGTGATTGAGAGGAATATCATCCAATTTCGAGAAGGAACTCTAGGTCGAAAGTTTTCGCCAAATCCTAAGTATTTCCACATTGGATTTGGAGGTTTCTGTTTCGCAGTAGCTTTCGCATCGATTTTAACTTCTGCATTTGTAGCAGAAGCTGGCTTCTAAGATCTTATTAGTTTAAGCTCTTCAAATGAGTCTTCTTATAGGAAAATTACCTCTGCTTCGGGTACTTTTGAGTCCGACATTATGGTGGACGAGAGTATATCTCCCCAGACCGTGAGACTGAAAATGTACGTGCTCCTTTGTACTTTGAGCAATTGCTATTGAAAATATTACTGGCGATATAATATTTCTTACTTGAGAATGAATCTTTTCAGAAATCGGAGAAATCTTTCGCCGGTATCACGTGTAAGATGTTTTCTTATCGATAAGACCCAGAGTGATGGCTTGGTCTTGGCATCTGCGTCCGAATTCGCAAGGCCGGGTGGAGAAGGGTCTTCCTTCTCGGTAACAATTTGACGTAACAGATGTACAGTATGGACTCCGTAATTACGAAGATTATTTGGTGTGGCGATGCAGTTATGATGATTTTCACTTATTGTTTTTGATGAATAATAGAGTTCTCGAGTTCAGGTCTGTTGTAATGCTATTACATATTCCGTTGCACGTGGCCCTGGGTAAAAAAGGTATCAGTTAGGAAGGGAGCCAGAACAATGTGCTATCTGCTATCTGCTATCAAAATTCTAGAAAAGCAAAATAACGGCAAGAAAGGGTAACGGTCCGTCTTCACCCGGGTGCTCCCATTAACTAGGTAAAATCGTCGGCGAGACCTATAAACCTTAATTTTACAACATCATTGAAATCGAGGGTGAGAATGAAAGTCAAGAGGTGTAACAAAGTCAGCTTGTTAGAGAGGACCATTAAATTTTCCCATTGTCGATAGATAGATTGCATGTGTTGCTCGTTACGTGTTTCTTGTTGGAGAGAAATTCTACCGCTTCGTAATATCTCTGTCGCACCTATCGCACCTAAACAGTAGTGCCACTGTGCGAGCAAGTATTATTCATGCTCAGACATTTCCCAAGGGCGTACTAAACTAATAAAAGTAAGCTGCCCTACATCTACACTACAGAGTACTAGGTACACACCGAAGACTGACGCAAAGAAATAATAATAATAATGGGTGGTGGAAAATGTTTGATGGCTTGTCTCGTTTTGCTTGTGACATACGGAGTAGGTTTTTCCCTCGCTTTGCTATTATGTTCGTTCTACGGAGTATGTATGTGACCACCACACAATCTCAAAGGAAGTTTTATGCCGAGATATGCGGAGACCAAACAACTCAATTCAGCCAATTGTCATATCATTGAATCATTTAATGGAACAGTACAACATTACAGCAGAATAGATTGGAATACCACAGAATATTGGTGTTTGAAATGGGGTGAGAGAGGGGAATTTTCATCTGATTTTATTTTCCTTCACTTAATTCATTCATCAGACTCGGTAGAAGGTACATTACAAAAAAAAAGCTATCGGACGAAGCGAAGCTTGGAACGAACGGGTCGTTTCAATCAACAATAATCTGTATGGAGTACGGAGTAGGGTAATGAACGAATAACAAGAAAAAAGACCTTGGAAATGCTGTGCAGATCTTATTATCCAATCTTTCTATTTTTAAGTTAGAAACCCTAGAAGAATCAAAAATTGATCCCCTTAAAATCTCCCATTAATCTCTTTTGGGAAAAGCTTGTTCTTATCACCACGTGATATCAAAATAATATGAAAACATCCATCTCAAAGTACTTTGATAATGAATGGAATGGAAAAAAAGGTTAAGATACCCCGGAATTGGAAGTCGAGTTCTTTGTTGTGACCCGAGAAGTAAAAGGAATTTTTTGTGCTTCCTTCCACCACTTCCCTCCTTGTCCATCCTCGTGATTTCATGAACCCATAAAGAGGATAGTATCGGGAATTCGGTATGAGAGAGAGAAAGAAGGAGCGAGCCACACACCATTTTTTGAGACGGCAAGAGCGAGAAGAGGAAAAGATAAAACTCCACTTACTTTTTGGCTGTGGCTGGCTGGGATAATTGTAGTACTTTTTGGCTAGGATAGCGGTAGTACTTCTTACCTGGGATAATAGCTGAATTACCAGGTAGCTAGTACCTGGGCTTAGTCGGTATGCTGGCGGACCGTGTAAAATACTAGGAAAGATAGTAAGGAACGTGGAAGAGACGGATGATGGTGTTGGATTGATTGATTGAAGAAGAAAGAAGAATCTGGTAGGGAAAGGGGAAAGTAAGCATAGTAAGTGAAAGTAGTAATACTTTCACATTATATACTTAATAGGTATGAAACAAAATCGTTAATGATTCTTGATAAAAGAATCAATAATAATCATTACCTACCCACTAGGCATAGAGTACTTTGTACTACCGCATTACCACTTCTCTCCCCACATACCTAGGTATATACTAGGTACGCCGGATACAAATAAAGAGGAAGCTTGCGTTGACCAAAACAAATAGCGAGGTACAAAGTAGGAAGTATAGTAGGAAGGAAAGCAGAAAGTAAGTAGTAAGTGTAGTAGTGAATAAAAGTAGTACCAAGTCAAGTACTAAGTAAGGTATTCAGTAAGGTATTAAGTAAGGTACTAAGTAAAATACTAATAAGTAAAGTAAAATACCAAGTAAAGTCAAATACAATCGGTACCTTATTAAGTATTAGGCATACATACCATAGATAAAAGTTGAGGTCATTCGGATACTCGATATTATTCTCTCAATGGCAATAAAGAATAAACCGCCATCAATATCATCAATAAGACCATGACCTGTACCAATCCTGTACCAATACTTGATTTTGGAAGAAAGTTTCCCTTGGAGGAAAGTGGTAAATTGCTTTGATGGCGTTGAGGAGAAGCTTGACGCCTTATTTGCCCTTTACCCATTCATTCACTCATTCATTCATTGATGGCTCATTCATTCATCATTCATTCATTCACCTTGATTGAATTTAACTTGGATAGTGGAAGAAATACCAGGAATGCATGTAAAGGGAGAATGAGCCAATCAAAAGCCCCCGAGCAAGCGAAAGTAATCAAATGGTAAGCTCTTGCTTTTTTTCCCCTACAGTTTGAAATGCCCACCCACCGCACCACCCAAATTGAGATCACCCACCCAAATCCTCTCTCCTACAGTCCTACTTCTTTTCCTCACCAAATCTCTACCTGCGAACTCTGTACACGCAAATTTCACCCATACAACAACTTCTCTGGTACTGGTAAGCATCACCCAAAATCCTCTCATCCGCTCATACTGTATCCTTCATATCAAATACTTTTATATTGGTCCTCAAGATCACAATACTATTGAAAACGCGCTTTTATTTATACCAAAAAGTCGATGTTTCCTTAAGTATTCCATCTATCTGTACTGCATTTTCCATTGTACAATACCTTCCTACAATTGCTTCTCTTTTCAACTTCATCGGCGCGTCATCTTTTTGCTCGCGATACCACAGCCAACACTTGCACTCACGCACACCTATTCCACTTCCACTCTCTACCACGGATATATCACTGATTCAATTTCTTCGCGTTATAGATCAACCACCTCAAGTTACAACTTGAGTAACTCTTTAAATCAATTTACATGTAAGCTTCCTCCTTCATTTTCTTCTTTCACATCTTTCAATCTCGACGTCGCGAGGAAGTTATTACCTTTGCGACTGAATTCACCTCACAAATCATTCACATCTCCATACAAAAATACAACAACACCTTCACGACGCGCTATCACTCACCACCCAAAAAATCATCATCTTTCCATCTTCAACTTTTAGGGTCTGTTACTCAACCACAACCACTTTTCATGCTCAT